AGGGGCGTTACAGTTGTCCAAAGGGTGTGTGTGGGGGTGGGGTCGTGGTCGGGGTTTGGGTTTAGGTTTGGGTTTGGGCTTCGGGGCAGGCATTTCAAGGCTTTGTGTGACTATGACTATGCGCTGGGCAGAGTGTTTGCATAGCTATCCACGATCCCAGATCGGGCGCAAGTCCATCTTGAAATGATGGAGTAACCAATTGGTTGGGTTCCAGGAATGCAAGCATGGCTTTTTTATTTTATTTCATTTGTATATATTTGTTCATTACTAAACGTTAACACACATTTTAATACAATTATATATACAATTATATAGAAGTAAAAAATCAAGCCAAGAAAACATTCCTTATTACCCGCTGCCAGATACTCGCCCATATGTGCACATCTCACTCGATCCACATCGTTCTGGCCTCCATCTTCATCTCCGTCTCCGGTGCAGGCCACAATCATTACTCACTCGCGCTAATCCCAGAGACTCCATTCCATTCCGCTGCGACCAAGAAAAATCACATGAGCGGCATTTAAAGATTTGGGGCGAGTGGCTCAGTTGGGGCAAATGGAAAAGCTGCAACTGCAACACCAGCAACTGCAACTTCAGCATCTGCAACCACACAACGGCAACGGCAACTGGCGATAAGCAGCTCGGGAAAACTGAGAAGCCGCGATGGCAATTGAGTTGTTCGCCAGCTGGGCCATCTGGCTTTGACTTTGGCTCAAAGGAGCAACTGAGCCACTGAGCCACTGAGCAACTGCAACTGCAACAGCGACTGCAACTGCAACCGCTGATGATGTTGCTGCTCCTTGCTGCTCCTAAGCATGTGCCGGCCGTAATGGCGATGCATTTATTAAAGGCTTTTGTGCGTGCGGGCTGTTCCCCTGTCTCCTTCCGACTTCCAGCCTCCCTTGAAAGCTTCCCGCTGGTCGGGTCCGCTCACTTGCTTAATCCATAAATGGAAATTAATGGTTGGCATAAGTGTGTGTGTAGATCCGCTGAGCCTCTCAACTTGGCTAATGGCGCTGGCTAACGGTACTGGCTGAGTGCCACTGCATTTGCATTTGGGCCTGCAAAAATATTAAGACATAAATGTCATCAACAATGATACCAAAAGCAGGGGCAGGGGCAGGGTGCTTACCTGGGGGCAAAGGCTGCGTGGGAGGATGAATTAATGCGATTAAACTTAGATCATTGTTGTAATGATAATTTTTTTAGAAATACATATATCTCTTACCACAGCTCAAAAAGTATTCAAGAATAAATATTCTTATAAATAATAGCAACCATACTCTTAGATTTGCTAAGCAGCCCATACTCCAACACCTAAATGCAAAAACTTTCTGAGAAATGGTATGGGATTAAGCTAGCTTAGAAGGTCTATTTTCTGATATTGATTTCCGAATGGGTGAAAATTAGTGAATGCTAAGCCATAAGTGGGGAAAACTGAATAATCAAATCAAAACGTGGCAAGCAGATAAACGCCCACTGGCCATAAGGAACCGAATAGGGATCCCTTTTCTTGGGTCATTTAGATGGCCGGTCCAGAGAGCGTATAAAAAATGATACCACAATTTATGGGCGACATCTAATGGCGTACAGATGCAACTTAGTTGGCGGATTTGCAGCATCTGCTGCGTGCAACGCAATGCAACAGCAACTGCATCGGCATCGGCAGCGAGTCTCATAAAACATAATCAAGTTCACATTCAGAGAGTCTCAGACGACCGACTGAAACCGGGCGACAATGGCAGACCACATCCTGCCTAGACGTTCCTACAATCCTACGCCCTCTCCCGGGAACTGTGGTCTTTGGACCTCCATCTCCGGCTCTATGCAAGATTAATTTCCAGCCATATTGTCATATTGTGGCCATTGCAACTGCCGCAGCCGGCAGGGCATATAAGTTTTATAAGCGTTTTGACTCCATTAACTCTCTGCAGCAAGCTAATTTCCATAACTTCTGGGTGGCGTTGTAGAACCAGACCTAATTTATCAAATCGCTAAGTGCGGTGAGGTGTGTATTAATTGTCAGCCATTTGGCATTTGGCAATCGATGAAGAAGAAGGCGGCTACGTGGGCGTAGGCGTGGCAGAGCCGCGTGGGAAGTGTTGAGTGCTCCATTTGGAATGCAATCTTAATGGAGGTCTAATTGAAAACTCTCTCCGCGGATCATTAATTGGAACCTCAGCCATTGAATGGAGGTTAAGAGAATTGCTCATAAAAGCCATTGGGCCCGAACCGGTTCACTCTGCTAACTAAATTGTTTTGAGGGCAATTTATGTAAATTTTCGTCTTGTTGTGTTGCCTTGTAACATTTCCATAAGTATTTCGTTTGTTTGCCCGAAAAACACTTTTCTTGGGCCCCTTAGCCAAGTTCGTTGCCTAAGTCTTTTGTTTGTTCGCCAGCCGAGGAGACCACACACACACACGCTTCGAAGGCATTGATTTCACTCACTTACCAGGGCCTGAAAATGAAACAAGCCCGTTAACAATTTGCACAAAACATTTGCGGATCCGGGGAGGAAATACACGTAAACAAACCCTCCAAAGGCTGCAAGGGGGCGGAGGAGGGGTGCCTGTTCGCATTCAATAAATAAAATGTCAAAACAATAATGAAATGAATTATGGGTGCGCATCAGACCGAAGTTGGGGAAGCTGCATCTTAAGGCAGGGCGGCGGCGGTGGCGGTGGTGGCGGTGGTGGCGGCCTCCATTTGCAGTTGGACCCTGGTCTTTCGAGCATCGGGCAATTTCTGGACGCTCTTTTATTTATTGATTTCGTGCGTATGCACAATCAGAGGCTCGTTTGGCCCGGCCCTGCGGCATTCTGCACTCCGAGCTCGTAATGAAACAGAGTGGATTATCCGTGGCCTGCTAACGCCGGCGGAACGCAATCAAAACTTTCGCTGCCAACGCCAAAGTCAGAGCCAAAAAGCGAACTCAACCAACAGCCAGCAAACACAGCAAAAAAAATGCAATTATTTCGATAAAAATGACCGTTTACTGTCGTTTTGTGGATATTGGGAGCCAATTTATGTGCCCCTCCACTCAGGTGGGAGGGAAGTTCAGGGCAGGCAAACATGAAGCATAATTTTCTGGAATATGTACGATTCGCCAGGGTCTTTCCTTTATTTTTGCCATTTAATCTGGGTCAAGGAAGCGATTCGATTCAGAAAATATGTTTTGTTGGGTCAACCATGTTTTGAAATAAACAAAGAGAAATGCAATGCAAAAAAATGGTTTCCTTTTTGGTTTATTTTATTGATGCAATTGTGGGACTAAATTTGTATCCTTAAAATATAACCCAACCTTTAGTTCTACTTAAAATCTTAAAAATTTAGAGACATGTCTTGGTAACTAATTTGTTGTTGAACTCGAAAGAAATTTGATAGTCTGCCTTGTAATATGGTTCATTGTATAGGATTCCCGTTTTCGTTTGGTTTCACGTTATGTGTAATAAAACCCATAGTTGTAATATATTGGTAATAAGGAGTCGACCAAATCACTTTATTGTTTGGCATTTGGAGTCAAACAGCTGTGGATCATCGGGGATTTCGTCTTTTATTGATAGTTATCGCATAATCAATGGAAACAATAATCAAAGCCAAATTGATATTCTCGAAAGTTAACGATGGACAATAAAACACCCAGGTTCATAACTATGGCCATAAAAAGTTGATTTGATTTTTGTGTCAATTTAAAGGCATGTCGAAGAAAACGGATTCGATAGTTATTGTTGACTCGTGTTTCGGACATTCATTTAGCCGATTATTATGTGGACTTTGGGTATGATTTATGCGTTCCGATTTTTATGGTGCACTTAAGTGTTGGCCACTTAGCCATTTTCATCGTTTTTGTGGGCGAGGGGCGTTACCGCAGCGACAAATAAGGCATAGCATTTGAAACGCCCAAGAGCAAAGCGGTCTTTTTTTGGAAATATGCTCATAATTTTAGTACATTTTGCATGTGGCCGCGACTCACATGCTTCTCGGCAAATTCCCCATTAAAAGTCCCAGCTACGAATCAGCCGAAAATAAAGTATGTATATCGCCTCTGACCACGCATGCATATATTAACGACGCCGAGGTATGGCATCGTATCGATACAAAGTTACTGGTTTCTGTGGCCCTAGGGCCCCAGCAGCCCAGGCTGCAGCGTTCTGATCGTGTAACGCTTATTTGGATCAAGATAAAAATTATGTATGATCAGAAATCAGTTTGACAACAAAATGCTTTATGTGCGCCATTCTTAACGCTGCAATTTAACAAAACGGCACATTAAGCCACAGGGGCTGTGGGGTGCAGAAATGGCAGGGTAACCCACTTTCCTCCATTGACGACCGGTAACGTCCGCGGCATGCTAATAAGGGCGGCGCATACTTTTCGCCCGGGCGAAAGTCAATAAAGATGAACGGCTCATGCCGCCCCCACACCCCACAGCCCTCCACTGCCCCACCTCACCCCCCCAATTGTTCATCATAAGCGCTGAGACCGATCGGCATCCGCAGCATCTACACATCATGGAGTTGTCTCCACTGAGTAGTTGCACTGAAAGAATTGACTTGACTCGTCAAGTTTACAAAACCTTGTGAACCAGAGAATTTATTGAAATAATAGATGTACTATACAGAGCTGATATACCTCCATCAGCAACATATTTTTAAGCTATTTAAGCGGTTAAGTAACTTATTCTCGCTGAACATCTAAGCTAGGCATAGTGAGACAAAACGACATAGAGGTATTTCCATATATTATTAATTTGAATAAATCATTTTTTGTGGGTTATTCATATCTGCCTGATCTAGTTATTACAAATTGGCTGTCAGCATAAAAGTCTATCAAAAAAGTGCATGCCAATATAAGTTGTTTACTAAACCAGTGGAGCTGGCAAGGTGAACAAGAACTGCTCTCTCTACAGCTAACAAGCTCTTAATTTTTTCTCTCAGTGAAGGACCTTGCGCTGACTTTGGCTTCGGCCTCGGCCTGTCCATATCTGCAACGTCGATCAATGCAAATTTCTGAGCTGATCAAACTGGCCAGGAGCAGCAGAAGCCGCAGCAGCAGCAGCAGCAGCGGCAGCCTACGCAGCAACAGCAACAGCGGCAGCGGCTCAAGAATTATTATTAAATTCGATATAAATAATATTCGCAACGGCTGCAGCGCGCTGGGCCCCCCGCCCGATCCCCTCGGCTGGACAGTCTGCTGATTAATAAAAGACGGCTGCCGTGGCAGAAGTTCCGAGATGGCCCGCGGTGCTTAAAAATTCTGAGGCATCTGTCAAGTCGAGCGAAGGTGAAGGTTTCGCACAGGCGCAGCAGGACCTGGTCTGCAGATCTGGCGATCTGGGTATCTACGTGTAGGTATACAATGGTATACGGGTGTACAAAGGCGATCCGGGGACCGCGAACTCACAAAAGTTTTAGGGGGGCAGCGCTTTGCATACGTGCATATGTACGTGTATGTGACAGTCGCATAATAACGCTTCAATTAAGCCCAAGCGATTCTCTGACACGATTTTCCTTTGTGCGCTGGCCAAAAACTCCACTGGCCGATGCATATCAATAAGATCTGACGTCAATTTTGATAAGCGAACGCATATTATTATTGTTATTATTAGCCATATATACGCCCCCCATCTGCAGTCCCAGCCCCCCCTCGTAATAATCAGCGGCATAGCAAGGGGCGGAGGGGGGCGGTCTGTAAATCCCTTCGAGCATTTTGTCGGGTAGCTGACCGCGCCGAGCGGAGCGACGGATATCTGGCATATCGACATATGCCAGCGAAAGATGAAATTCCTGGGAGCATCCACACACTGCCGAGAATAAAAGAAGAATTATGCTTAAATTATGCAAGGTCCGACAATTTACAAAGTGATCGAGCTCCAGCCCTTTTTGGGACCCCGCAGATGCCCCCGGATCCTCGTTACATGGTGAATGGCGGTGGAGCAAGAAGACCAGGGATGCGTAACCTGGGAATCGCGATCGCTAGAATGCAGCTATCTCTATTATAATCATGGTTTTTTTTTTTTGGTGGTGGAACTGGCAACCAAATCAGTCATGTTCTACGAAATGTAGTAATTATCTAAAAAGTATATTATAAACATTTTAAAGCCACACCAATTGTCTGGCATTTATATACGTTTTTACGAAAAATATTATAAATACTGCTTTCATAGTACTGATTTGATTGGCTTTGGGGCCCTGAGTTCTGCACAATGTACGATCGATTTGTGGAATAGATAAAACGTTGACGTTTTGATCGATATTTATGATTCGTTCGCATGAAGAGCTACTTAATGGGGCTGGGGAGCCCAGGAATACCTATGTCCTGGAGCCCAACTGGATGGCAGACAGAAGCCTGGGCGGCGCAAGGGAGTTGGAGCAGCGGGAGTGCTGTGTGATTTAGGATTTCATTTGTTAGTTGGAGGCCAAAACAATTTGTTGCCCGTTGCCTGTTGTTTGTTGCCAAGCTGCCTTTGCTGCCTGGCTGCCTGGCTGCCCCTCTTCCCCATTCCATTTCACTTGGCATGTCTTTTTCTTTTCAAGGGCCCCGGATTTTTTGTGGCGCATCCTGATCCGCTGCACTCTCCGAATACATTTGTAGTAATCACGTGTTATCGCCGCATTTGGACATTTTAAAAGGTCATAACTTAAAACCTTATCGGACGGACGGAGAGGCGAACGGAAAGAAAGAGACGCCCAGCGAGTTCGAGTTCGAGTTTTGAGTTCGAGTGCGACATGCGACATGCAATGCAATCCAAAGCGAACAAAAAGGAACTCACTCGCCGAGAGACATCCAAAAGTAGCCGAAATTGAGCTGAAGGATAACACGAAATGCCAGCGGAGACAGCGGCGTTCCAGCACGCAAATTGCGGGCCAGGCGAGCGGGCAGAGGATCGGTCCGAGTCAAGTGGTGGCCCAAGGGGTGGGGCCGCCATTACATTCCATTGAGCGCACTCCGATAATGAGCCCCCAACATACACTCGGAAAAACTGAGTCGACGTTTCCTTGGCCTTAGAGAAAAATAATAGTTTAAATAAAACTGGTGTTCGCTGCTGATATTAGTATTGTTTTTGCTTAAAAGTCGAATAATTAAATGCCGTGAGGCCGTTATTTTTTTCAGTGCACTCACGCACACCCCACCATCGTCGCAGGACACACTTTCTGGGGACTTGTGGTGCGCTAAAAGCGAAATGATAAGCTGACAGCTCCAGAGTAAGTAGGCGACCGACCTTAGCCTCCTCCGCTTCCGCCCGCCCCCCGCCGCTCCCCTCCAGTCCGCTCCCTTTGGCGACGCCGGCTTTTTATGATAGCTGCAGGGGGGCAGCCCGGGCAACTGAATGGCCAATGAATCTCTGACTCTGGAATTGCGACCGCAGATGACTCACAGACACACGCGAGTGATGGGATTCGCATTAGAGCGTAATTCCCAAAACGGATCTGGCGTCCCGATATGGCATACTACCCATTCAAACTTGGCTAGCAGCAAGTTTAGTGTTTAACTCGGAATTGGCTCTGATCCCTCAGCATTTTTGGGACTCTAAGCCATTGGCCATCAAAGTTTTATTGTGCCTTAAAATTGTGCTTTTAAATATTTATAGGATAATAATCTTCATCAGATTTATAATTCGATTTTTAATAATAAAACCGCAAATCTGGTTTTGATTAAATTTGTTTCCAGTGAAACAGAAATACAACATTTCGAAGATTGGGATTAATCGTACATTTATTTTCCCAGCGGAAATGAATATTTTTGGATCTGTTAAAGTATCATTGGTGCTCTGCAACTATCTAAACTTAAAACTTGTAAAAAGCAAATGATTTAAGGGTTATAAAAACGACTTCAAAAACGTTCACTATCTGAAATGGTTTTTTCTTTTCTTCTACCACCAGACACTCAAAGTAAGACCCTTGATTATCCCGCCAGACATCTGCGCCAGCCTGATATTGATATGCATTCGAATCCATATGCCGACTTTCGCCAGCGGCACAAGTCCTTTCCCTTGGATCGATGAGCCGTGTAAATGGGATTCTCTATTTCGGAGCGATAAGTCGGGAATGCCTTCTGGCTCGGATATCAGAGTAATTACGTTCCCAACAACGGAGCTGCGCCTGGGTCAGAGAAGAGAAATGCCTGGTTGTTCATTGTTACCAATTTTTATGGAGAAATGAGATACCCAAAGGTACGATCCGATTATCATCTAGTTCTTCCCCGACCTCTGCACTCTGCACTCTGTGTGTGTTGACATTCCCCGCTTTTCCACTTTCTTGTGACAATTTCTACGAAAACTCAATGCAAACACAAACATATCGTCCCTAGATGATGCCTAAACACTCCCATTCAATGACAAACGTTAAATTTACGACAATGCCCATACGAGCAGGTAAAGAACTCAGGTGAATGGTCCTAATGGTGGAACGGGGTGCCCTAGTCTAGGGTTTTTGGAGCTGGGGCGGGGCAGATGGCTATCGGACCGCAGTCGAAGTCGGCACAGATGACTCATCAAATTAGCGTCCAGGGCGCGGGCGATAAGCGTCCATGCGAAGGATTAGGAGAGGGGATGAAAGGAGAGTTTGATTGTTCGAAACTGTTCCCGAAATGTGCTCATATCATTTTACAAACAGTCTCGAAACCACTCGAGACCGCTATAGTATTGTAATCTCCACGGGCTGGGAAATTCCCGGGTCTTGGGACCACCCTCACTGGCAAGGAAACCTTGTTGACCGATTATTAATTGCCAGAGTTCTATACTTAGTTAATTGGGTTCATACTGGGGACACCAACTACTAGTCATTAGTACTGTTTTGAGTTCTAGGACCATTACATATGTTAATATGTAACAATTCCAATATATTATTAAACATAATAATGGATTTCCTTTCCTCAATTTGGAGGTTTCGAATATTTCGGTACAGTCTTGTACCTCTCTCTCGCCATGAATTCTGCAGTGCTTACAGTTATGTCTCGCAATTATCCGTTCAATTTGCACAGGAAGCTTTTGTCGCAAAGTCGCGTTCGCGATAATCCGACAGCAAAATATGCGAACGTTAATTACGCTTTTGGCGAACCTCTTACGCACTCCGATGCGCGGATGCTGAGATACTGGGATGTTCGGAGGCTTCAATGCAGATGCAGATGCTCCTGCCCCTGTAACTTACCACTTGCCACCACTTGGTAGCAACGGCTGACAACGATGCCTGACGGCAGATAATGCTGATCGCATGAATGATGGAAGGATTCGAGCGGGAATACGAGTTCTGTGATCGATTAGGGAGCCAATCCAGAATGCAGAACCCCGAGCCAGCTTGATTGAAAGCTTGCAAATTGTTTGAAGCATCTGGGATCTGTGCGGAGTGGCATCCAAATGGATGCACTTATAGGCGGTGTCATTGGCCCGAGTCGAGCATGCAGCCACCCAGGTGGATGGATGGCTGTGTATGTGGATAGTTCGGATCGGAGTTGCCCCTCACTGCGCATGCCACCATTTGTCTTGACCCCGAAGTGCTGCATGTGGCGTTACTTTCGTTTCTGATTAATTTGAGCTAATTTGTTAAGTAATAACCGAAGGAGACCCAAGCCCTTACGTGCACCAAACGAAGTTGTAAAAGTAATATAAAAACAGTTTGAAACGCATCCCAGTGATCTTCATTGGGTCCCCAGCGATTTATTAACACTTAACCGTGCTGCGCTCCGTTTCGATCAGATTGGACACCCTTTGCGTAGGAGCTGGGTCCAAAGTAGGGCGCCAAATTGTGCACGTCCCGGTCTGCGGGCAACTCCCCGAATCCACAAATCCCCAGTCCCCAACTCCGATTCCCGATTCCACCGCTCTCACCTTTTTTGGAGTGGAGTGCAGTTAAGCGGGTTTAGTATTTCGATTATTGACTGCAACGAGCAGCGGGTGGTGGATCATGTTGGTCGTCTTTAGGTGGAAATAAAGATGGAAATGGATTCGGTCCCAGAGTCCCTGCTTAATTGACAGCATCCAAGCAGGTCAGTGCGAACAGAGATGTGAGAGCCAATTGCTGGGCCCAACAGGAGAAATCTTTCTTCTGTGGATAATCCCCACTTTGAACGTACTGCGATCAGTTGTTCCTCAGGAATCTTGTTTTATGAAGATTAGGTTTTCTATTCAATTTTCTGTACGTTTTTTTTGGTCTATGCCCGATGCATATTAGTTGGTGTTAGTTAGGGTTCAGTGGAACCAAAATCTCAGCCAATACATAGCGCCATATTAGTGTCAATTAATTTATGAGAAAAACAAGATAAGTGGCTGGGAAATGGGCACCTTTCAGCGGACCTGGTAGCAGTACTACCCAATGTGCCATGTCCGATTCCTAATTCACATGTCACGTTCATGTTCACGTTCCACGGCCAGTTCGCTGGAGTTGCGGTTTTTCGGTTGCGCCTGCCGTCTCTGAAG